AAAATGTTACCACATGTGTCACATCTCCTCTCTGGTATCAAAAATCAACGGCAAGCCATGAAATAAATCACTTAAATTGCATTAACGAAGTCCAAAGCTGCGAAAACCAAGCTCTTTGGCCGCTGAAGCAGATTTGTTCTCTAAAGAGCCTGTTTCGAGAATCTACAGAAGAGAATACAAATGTGCCAGCTGTCCGGTCAAAGGAAGCTAATTGTCTAGAACAAGTTCAAGGGACGAAAAAGTTCGAGAGTTCATCCGTGTGCCGGCTATTCGGCATTGATTTGAGGAATAATTCTAACAATGTCCCTAGTCCAAACATTGTTTCTAACTGTGAAATTTCAAACTCGACAAAAGAGAAAAAGCAAGTGCATTTGGAAGTTCCTGTAAATTCTTCATCCAGAACTCGGATCAAGGTACATTTTTTTTTTTTTTTCTCCATTTGAAATTTGCTGAACTTAAAAATGCCTTTCATATCCTGGTTTTGAAGTCTGTGTTTTTCTTAAAATATAATCTATTAGGTTCAAATGCAAGGGATTGCTGTTGGGCGTGGTGTGGACTTAAATGCTTTTAACGGCTATGATGAACTTATTGCGGAGCTTGAGAAAATGTTCGAGATAAAGGGGGAACTTTATCCTCGTAAAAAATGGGAGGTCGTTTACACAGACAATGAAGGGGACATGATGCTTGTGGGCGATGATCCATGGCCGTAAGTAATTTAAATACATTGCAATTTGCAAGTCAGTCCTTGAGTCGTTTGCCATTACGTACAAAAACGAAAAATAAAAAAGAGGAAAAAAGTGATCTTGGGTATCTACTCAGAGAAAAGAAAGAACAATATATTTATATATAAATTGCAAATGTGTGTGTTTGCTTATAATTCTGTTCCTTTTCAATCAGATTCTGATTCTTGATTGACTTCTTCAAACCAATATTGCTTTTATTTGCAAATGTTACCTACTTTTCATTTAACTGGATTTAATTTCTTCTATAATAAATATAACTGCTTTGAAAAAGCAGGAGTCAGATATTTGTATGATTAAAATTTATTAAGAAAGTAGAAAAAAAATATATATCGTGTTTTTGCAGGGAATTTTGCAAGATGGCTAAAAAGATTTGTATATACTCGAGCGAGGAAGTGAAGAAGATGAGCCCCAAATGCAAGCTTCCTCTAACTTCATTAGACGGCGAAGGAATAATTTTAAGCTTAGAATCAGAGCCTAAATCAGAAACATAAAACTTTTGAATGTTCTCGTATATTTCGGTTTGGAGTAACAAATAAGGTAGCAACAGGTTTGCTCAGTCTTTTTT